CACAAGGAGTAATTTATGTGAAAAATGTGATGATAATGTCAAACATGTGAAAATGGAATAGTAAATAATTAATGTATTACATGTAATAATAATTAAGTTCTTTTATAAACTAGAATATGCGCCGATAATTGCGATAATAAATAATATGAGGATTTAAATAAAAAGTGTTAGTAATGTGATCCTACGTGTCTTACTTGCTCGAATTCTAATACATGTGATACTTGTGAAGAAGGATCATATTTGAAAAGAAGTACATAAAAATGCGACTTATGTGACTTAAATTGTAAAAAATGTATAGAAAAGGGCAAATGTGTATCTTGTAAATAGAATTATTTTTTAACTTAAAATTAATAATGTAAACTTGAATGTGATTAATCTTTTTTTCCCGATTCTTAAGGAAATTGTTTACCATGTGATTCTAATTGTTTAAATTGTAAACAATCTGATGAATGTACAGAATGCTTTTAGGGACTCTATTTATTTAATGGATTCTGTAGTAATGAAATTTATTGCTAAGAGAATACTTACTTAGACCAAAATGAGTGCAAAACGGAATGTCCTTAAAATAAATTTAAAAATCTAGAGACTAATACATGCGATCCTTGCCATTTTTCATGCAAAAGATGCACGGAAGCAGGCAATATAAAATGCTTGGAGTGCGAAAATGGACTTGCTTTGAATGAAGATGGTAAATGTGAGAAAAAAGTATAAGAAACAAATGCGACTACTAGTAAGTTGATGTTTAAAGTATATCTTGTAGTTACTATATATATATTAATCGCCTGTATAATTTGCCATTTTTTAGATTATAAATCCTATTTTAGAAATAGGAAAGTGAAAAATTTCGAAGAAGAAGATTGCAAACCGAAAATAGAAAAATCTTAATTGGAACGCGTAAAAGACCATATTGCGGCATAAAATGAAGCAGAAAATATAAACAAAGAAAATTAAAGGTAAAGGCTAAGGTCTAAATCAGATATTCAAAAAGCAAATTAATAAATAGAATAAATAGACATAAAATCACAAAAGAATAATAATAAAATTAATAGAAATCCAAGAAAATAAAGTAATTATATAAGTTAAAGTTAAGCTTGCCCTGATTAAAATACTTAAAATATGTCTGAATTTAAAAATTTTATCGATAAATAGATTATATAAAATAATAAGAATAAGAAAAACAATACAAATGTTATTTTATTTAATGATATTTAAAATGAAAATAATAATATAAATAAAGTTAATAGAATAAATATAAATCATAATTATTATTAATATGACTAGAAATTATATTTTACAATTATTGCGAATGAATTTTTGGAAATGTATTTAATATAAGACTATACACGAAATTCTTTAATTAGGGCTTTATTAATGTATTTTAAATAATGCTTATTTATGCTAGTTTGCTTTTATTATAATATGAAAGGACATTTTTATTTGGCAATTTTAATATTTATGTGTATTTTAATAAAATAATGTTTAAAAAAATTAATTGAAATATAAATCTTTTAAAGTGCCTTAGATACATAGTTTCAAAGTTAATTTTTCTAACGATTTTTATGATATTCTTTATTTTATTTATTTTAAAAAGTGTAGTATTATTAATGATTAAGAAGATTAATAATGGACTACTTGTTATTTAACAATTTTTGCTATAGATCTAATTTTGATTTAAAATATAATTTCATTTTTAAACTATTATTCGAGTATAAGAAGTTTGAAAGGATATAATGATACATTATAGAAATTCTTAGATTATGTATTTGATTATAATAATATAATAAATTAAATAAAAATAAAAGAAAGATAATGAAACAATATAAAACATAAATAATATAAAATTGTGATAAAAATAGTATATAAAATTATATGAAAAAATAAAATATAAATAAAAATAAAAAAAAATTATATATAAAAATTAAAAATTAAAAATAAAAAATAAAAAATTAAAAATTAAAAATTAAAAATTAAAAATAATAAAAATATAATAATAATAATAATAATAATAATAATAATAATTATAATAATAATAATAAAAATAATATTTTTCTTATAATAACATAATTTTAAATATGTAAATATATATTATATAGAAAAAATAATTATATTTGTAAAAACTAATTTTAATTTAGTTTATTAATTTTTTTATGATTTTAAAATTTAATAATTTTCACTTTAAAATAATTTTTTATATTATATAATTAAAAATATTTTATTTTATATTTAATAAATATTATAATTATTTTTTAAAATGATAAATTATAAACAATAAATATAATAAATTTTAATTTAGTGTTTATATATATAAAAAATTATTTTAAAAATTTTTTTTATTATAATAATTTAATTTTACAAAAAAATAATAAATTATAAAATAATAATAAATAATTATATATTTATTTTTTAATAAATTTTGTTTTAAAAGAATTATAAAAAGTTGCAAACAATGATAATTTTTCTATTTAATAATTTCTAAACATTTATTAAAATTACGAATAATAAATCTTAAATAAATATTTGAAACGTAATATTTATAATAGTTCTAAAAATTATATATTAACATTATTAAGAAAATCAATTATTAAAAAATAGATATTAATTCATTACTATAAACTTTAATTAATGAAAGAAAATAAAACTTTTAAAATAAAATAAAATTTATATTGTAAACTATTAAAGCATAAAAAAAATATTATAAAATAAGAATTTTAAATAATTATAGTTAAAACTTATAAAATATATATATCTGAAAATTATAGTCTATAAAATATGGCTATAAAAATCATAATGAAAAATTAAGAATATTGCAATTAAAAAGCGATTATATAAAAAAAATCAATGTTAATTTTTACAAATTTATATGTTATATAAAAATAATAAATAAAAATTTATAAGAGACACTTAATAAAAGTAAAAATAAAAATTAGAACTTTTAAAAAAATAATATATATAACAAATTTTCTAATAATTTATTAATAAAATAAAATTAAAAATAATTAGATATTTTAAGAAAATGAGTAAAATATTAGTTAAAAATAAAAAAATATAACATTTAATAAAAAGATAAGACATAATATTTAAAAGAAATTTATATATATAATAAAAAATTGTATAAGATGATAGAAAATAAATTAATTAACTATAAATTTTTTTTAAAAAATATAAATTTTAATGATTAATTTTAGGAAAAATTAACATTTATTCATAAAATTCGAAAAAAATGGCATTAAATTATATTTAATTTTTTTTTTTTTTAACTTCTTATAAAATTGAATAAAACGTAATGTGAAAATAAATGAAAAAAAAATAACTTCAAAAATAGAATTTATCAAACCAACTACCAAACAATATATCTCAAAATATTCTAATTCTTATATGTATTTTGATTTTGTAGGATTAATAAAAGAAAAAGTTATAAAAATAATAAAAGTCTATCATTTTTTGTACAATTAATATTTTATTTTTTTGATGTAAAATAATAAAGAAAAGAATCCAGTTATAATATTTATCTTTATAAATATTTTATTATGATATCAAATTAAAAATTATTTATAAAAAAAAAACATATAAAAGAAAAATATTAAAAAATTATAATTATAACTAATAATTATTTAATATTTAAAGTTAAATACAATAAAATCAAAAGCATTAAGTGAACTCTAAATATTTATCTAATTGATATAATATTAATTTCTTAAGTTAAAATATTATTACTTAGAAATAAAAAAAAATATTTAAATAATATTAATATATCATAAAGATATATTAAAAAGAACATTTTAAATATATTAAGCAATACTATTAAATAATATTTATAAAAGAATAGTGATACTTCAGGAATAAACATTGAAAAAACCAGTTAAATAATAAATTATTAAGCATAAAATTAATATAATTCTTAAAATATTTAATTTTATATAAATGAAAATAAAAAAGTTAACTATTTGTAAATTATAAATAAAAAAATATTGTAATTTTCATATTGATATATATATAAATATATATATATATATATATATATATATATATATATATATATATATTAATGCTATATTTATATTGTTTGTTAATTTTTTTTTTTATAAAAGCATATAAAACTTTTATATATAAAACATATTTAAAATATATTTAAAATATCTTATAAATGTATTGTTATATTAAAAATTTTTTAATTAATTTTAATTGATTTAAATTATAATAATTATTATTTTTATATTGATATATTTTTTTTGTTATTAAATAAATTAAATTTTTGTCTTCTAATATCTTATGAATATCTATATTAAAGAATATATATTTATTTATATATTATTATTTGTTATATTTAAAAATTAATAATATAATATATATTTTATATATCTGTAATTCTTTTATTATTATTAATCTGAAAATTAAACCAATAATAATTTAATCTAAATATTTTTATTTTAGTTAGAAAATATTTTATAAATTTAAAAAATATAATTCCATTATATCTCATATTATATTTATTTATGAAGATAAAAATATTATGTATTTAAATAAAAAAATATTAAATAAAAAATGATTATAATTAATAAAAATAATTAAAAATATTAATATATAATATATGATTTTTAAAAAAAACTATATAGATTAATGTGAAAATATGTATTACGTATATATAGTTTTTATAAAAAAAAAAAAATATGTATAAAAAATTATAAATATATATAAATATTTATTTATTAATATATTTATATATTTTTATTTTTATATATTTAAATTTTTATATATTTTTATTTTTATATATATATATTTATTATTATATTTTAATTTTTATTTATATTTGTATATTATATTTTTTATTTTTTTATCTTTATTTAATTATATTTTATTTTATAAATTTATTTAATTTTTTTTTCAATCATTTTATAATTATTTATACACTAAATTCTTTTTATAATTATTTTTTTCAATAATCTTACTATTTTATTTGTATATTTAATAATTATTTCTTTCTCATTTAATATATATGCTTATAATAGGATTTTTAATACTTTGTCTTCTTAATTATATTCTTTAACTTTTTTTATAATTAACTTAGATATTCCTATAATAATAATTCTTTTAATTAATTAATAATTATTATTGATTATTTATTTTGCTAGAAAAAAATTGAAAATAATTTTCGGAACTAAATTAATTTATTTCAAATAAATTTTAAAGACTTATTGCATTTATGTTTTTTTTTTAAAGTAATAATAATATATATTAATTTTATATAAATAAGAAAAAATAAAATATGAATGAATTAATTTTATTTTTATATTTATTAAAATTTTTTAATATTGATTTTTCTAATAAAAAAAAAATATATTATAAAGTTTTTTCTATTATATTATAAATTAATTATCAAATAAAACTAATTTTTATTATTTTAATTTTTTATTAGGTTTATATGATTTCATTCATTTTAAAATAATTAAAATAGATAAAATTTTTTAATAAATTTATTGAATAAATTACAAATGAATTTATTTAGAAGAATAAAATGTAATATGAGTTAATTATTTATTTGATAATTATAAAATATTTTCAATAATTATATATATTAAAATCTGAAAAAATTAACATTATTTAGAAACATA